CATCAGATCAGAAGATTTGGTTTACAGTTTCTCTTTTTCAATCTTGTCTCTTTCCAATTACGAAGGTAAAAATCCGAAATTTCGTTTTTTTTTTTTTGTGTTTGGTGGGATCAATTTCTTCAATCTCCCATTTAATGCGTTTTCTTTCTTTCTTTCTAAAAACCCAGAATTGAGATCTCAGCAATGGCGGCTACAAGTGAGAAACAGAACACCACAAAGCCTCCACCTTCACCTTCTCCTCTTCGCAATTCCAAGTTTTTTCAGGTGAGAATTTCGATTTTAGTGATTTACCCATTTGAGATTGAGATGCGATCATCACCCTTCTGCATTGATTGGTTTTGGAGAATGATGAGGATCTTATTGTAATTACTTGATCTCTTTAGCATTGTAATGAAGATCCTTGAAATCGAATCCTTGTTATGTCACTTAGATCTGGCTTACATTGTGCTCTAGAGTTGTCAACTAAATCAGATCTTGAGGTTGCTTTGATCTGATTGTCTCTGATTTTAATTCTTGTCTTTGTAGTCCAATATGAGGATCTTGATTTCGGGAGGAGCTGGATTCATCGGTTCGCATTTGGTTGATAAGCTGATGGAGAATGAGAAGAATGAGGTCTGTATATGTATATGTCTACACTCAACACAATCGAAGATGCCTTATGTTGTCGATTTTGATCAATGTCGAATGTTGATTTTTATTCTCCAGGTGATTGTTGCTGATAACTATTTCACTGGATCAAAAGAAAACCTTAAGAAGTGGATTGGTCACCCGAGATTTGAGCTTATCCGTCATGGTATGCTCTCGAGATTCTCATTTTGTTGTCAATCATGGAATACATAGTTTAGTACACCGAGACTCAACATCGTCATCTTTAATGTTTTCGGATTGAAATAGATGTTACGGAGCCTTTGCTGATTGAGGTTGATCGGATTTACCATCTTGCTTGTCCTGCCTCTCCTATCTTCTATAAGTACAACCCCGTCAAGGTTTGTGCAGAGATACGTTATGATATGATCAGAAGCCTTAGTTTCTGACAACTAATCTGTTTCTGCAGACAATCAAGACCAATGTGATTGGTACACTGAACATGCTCGGTCTTGCCAAGCGTGTTGGAGCAAGGTTCGGGACATATTCCGCTTACTAATTTTTAATCAAATTCTTCTTCTAAATGCTCAGCGCTGCAACTAACAATTGTTACTTCTATAAACAGAATTTTACTTACCTCAACCTCGGAAGTGTATGGAGATCCTCTCATCCACCCTCAACCCGAGAGCTACTGGGGAAATGTCAACCCAATTGGTAAGTTTCATATGAAATCTCTCTTGCATTTCAGTTGTTACAGCTTAGTAAACCTAACCTGGTTGTTATTATAAAAGGGGTTCGGAGTTGCTATGACGAAGGCAAGCGTGTAGCTGAGACCTTGATGTTTGACTACCACAGGCAGCACGGCATTGGTGAGTTTGTATTTCCCCACACTCACAGCAACAGTTTTTCGTTATCCCGTGATTCTATTAAGATTCTCATTGGGCCAATTCGCTATTTGTAGAAATCCGCATTGCTAGAATCTTCAACACGTATGGTCCTCGTATGAACATCGATGATGGACGTGTTGTGAGCAACTTCATTGCTCAAGCACTCCGAGGTGAGGCATTGACAGTTCAGAAACCGGGGACACAGACCCGCAGTTTCTGTTATGTCTCCGACATGGTGGATGGACTTATCCGTCTCATGGAAGGCGATGATACTGGCCCTATCAACATCGGTAACCCAGGTCTGCCTTTTTCATTCCAACATTTACCTTAAACACTATACTAGGGTACACAATCAGATTTCATCATTTAGGTTTGTGTCTGAATTTCTCTGTTTCTCAGGTGAATTCACAATGGTGGAACTTGCTGAGACAGTCAAGGAGGTTAGAGTCGATTTTCTAAACAATATGAGAAATCCTCTGTTTGAATTCGTATTCTTAATACGTGTTTATATCTTGTTAAACGCAGCTTATTAACCCGAGCATAGAGATTAAGATGGTTGAGAACACACCGGATGATCCAAGACAGAGGAAACCAGACATTAGTAAGGCCAAAGAAGTGTTGGGTTGGGAACCAAAGGTGAAGCTCAGAGAAGGACTTCCTCTCATGGAGGAAGATTTCAGACTAAGGCTTAACGTTCCCAAAAACTAAAACGCAAATGCACAGGAAAACAGACTCAGATAAGTTTTCGATTTTACACGAGTTGTTGGCTTTTGAGTTATATGGTGCTCTTATTATATCTTTACAAAGTGATGGTTTTGTTTCATGTGTTCTTGAGATTGCTTTTTGTTCGTAGAGAAATAAGTTGGGCAATGGGGTTTTGTTTTTTGTATGAGGAACGACTCTTTTTTTCAATATATTGTGATATGGTATTGTTTTGCGGCTCTAACGAAATATTTTTCAATGATATGATTCTCAAGATATGTTATATTATTAACAAGTGATTTGAAAAACAAAATCACACTCTTCCAAAATCGTTAGTCCAATACACACCCTAAAAGACTGATATTAGAGTGTCTGGTTTACTCAAACCAAGACATCAACTTATCCTTAATACCTCTCTCCAAACCGGAGAAACAGAGATCCGGTTCCACATTTGTGAACTACTGCACATTCAGCTCATACCGGACCGAGTTTCAAACCGAAACCACAGGATGAACCATGTCCCGTTCTCCTGTAAACCGCTGTCGGATTCCCTTTAACGTCCATTGAGCTTCCCAAATCGTTTCCATGCTCAGCAAATGCATGCACGTGTGTTCTTCACAGGTATTCTAATCTCAGCACCAAGCTTATACAATTGTAACAGCAAAAAAACACCATCAGAATTTATAAGGGAAAAGATCAAAAATGTTTTTGTATGAGAATGTGTTTACCTCGAGAATGTGTTTAGCTGCACCGAGCTCTCCCATGGTGTAGCCTCGAACAGAGTTAGGCCCACCAAGAACAAAAGCATCATAGCTTGGAAAATCGCCTATGCAGCCACCGTAATAGCCGTGTAGGACTAGAACTGGTGGTTGTCGATTTCCGGATCCTTCTTCTACTTTCTTCAGCGGAATGAACCTTGTTAAGGTTAGCTGATGGCGGTTGTAGAGCGGGAAATTGCTTCCTATACCCAAGCCTTGATCCACCTGCGATTTGTTTATTATGAATCGTGTAAAAAAAGCTCTAGTTTAGAACATCAACATTGAGGGATTTATACAAAACCTGAAAGATATTCTTCTCTCCAACAATAGCCCCATTCACAGACTTGGTGTTGTCTTGGGTTATGTTGGCTTGTAGAAAGGCTATGACACTGGTTATGTTGGCTTGTAGAGCGGTCAATACCGGTACCACTGAGAGTTGTTGGAGGTCCATTAACACTGGTTCCACCGTAAGGCAACAACATCAGCCCATTTGCAGAGATTTGCCCGTTTTTATCTCGTGTTGTTATCTCTTCAAACGCAAGTCCATATGTGAATTTACTCTGACGGGTTAAGTTCTGCACAGAAAACCGGGATTATTAAGGTGCTTGTGGGAGAAGAAAACAAGTTGACCATAGGGGACTTACTTACCTCTGTTATATTAGCTTGCAGACCAAGTCGATCCACCAACATTGGAGGCACTACTTCCTCAAAGCCTGGTCCCCCAGTGAATATTGGGCTAAGTTTTCTGCTGTTGACGAAGCTCGTTTTGAAGCTACGGTTTCTGGGATTTTTAACATCGTCCAGATGTGAGTGTACATAGTCAAGCTGAAACAAAAGATCACCCTGAGAGAAAAACGAATGTATACATGGACGTTATCAAACTACAATCTGAACCAGATATCATAAGATATATCAGATGCATATGCAAACCAAGTATACCTCAGGACTCTAGAAGTTGCTAGTGGTCACTGAACCAATGAGAGACTGATTAAGGCCCTGGATGTTTCGATGTTTGAAAGTAACCGACCCGGCTGACTGGAACAAAGCCTAATAATGCAAAATAAACAATGGAGATAGCTAAATCAGTGGAAATTAAAAAACTTTAAAAGTTGTAAGTTTCAAAGCAAATAAGTATGTATGACCAGCACATACCTTTGAAGGATATCTTCCCCGCCCAGGAACAAGACACCATTCTGTACTTACAAGTGCTGGTTTCTGATCTGCCTCCACAAGTGTGACATTAGCGACAATACATCCTTCGTTTTTCTCATCTAGATGTGGAATGACTTTGATGTTAGACTTAATATTCCTCAGAGCTTCCATGTTGACTGTTGAGCACATAACCTGTGTCAATATTCATTTCAAAAGTCAGTTACATTTTCTGATCTGAAACCTCTAACTATATTAAGTGTCTGTCTTATAGCAAGTTCTTGACTTCAAGTCATGATCTAGTGGACACTTTAACCATAATAATAACAATCACATCAATGATGAGCTACAACCCAACTGATGAAGTCAAGAACTTGCTACAAGAAGGTGCTATAATCACAATCACATCAATGATGAACTACAATCATTTAGTCTTGTTCGTTTGTATGCATATACACAGCAACTAAACGATACTAAGAAATCTTCCTATGAATGTGAAACCAAAAGCTACAAAAGGCAATTTTTTTGATAAATAAACAAAGAGAATAGCTTAATAGCACTTAAGATTTAAGGGGCTTTTTTTTTTTTGACTATTTCATTTCTCAGAGGAATTTCAACAAACACTTACTAGACATTCACTTGTATTCTACAGTCCCACTCAAAAATAGAAACTCTGTTTAAGGCCATAATCTTAGCTTAACCCAACTCAATGAAACGAAAGTAAATTTTTGAAATCCACTACAAAGTGAAGGAAGCAACGAGGAAAACAAAAACAAAAAAAAATCGCTGAATCGAGCACAAATTGTAGTCTGGAATCGTAAATAACAACACACGGGAAGAAACCAAAATGCAAAGCAAAATTTCAAAACAAATCCCACTACGAACAACTCACCAAGTTACCAACCAAATAGCTCCTATGTTTTCTACA